CCGCTTTTTCCAATTAGTCCCAGAGTCAGCAAATAATGCACAACTTGGGGTTCTCAGAAACGACATTCCTAGGACAAGCCCAAGCCAACGAATTCGATATTTTGAGATAGTGATACTAACTGAATTATCGTCGCTGCGCCAGAATACAAGGTGCCGAACTTCTGCACTACTAAAATGATGTTGTCGCTGGACGTCAGCGATCTTTTGAAAACAACGATGATCAAACACATATTGTCGTCTAACATACTGAACTCGGATAGTCCATGTTTCAAAAACACAGAGTAAAACTGCACTCACCAACGCGTTGAAGATCCGATCTTTTACAGTCTGCCCAACACCACAAAGATGCCAAAGATGTCCCAAGTCTCTGTGGTTTTCAATATGCGTGAATTGATCTCATCACTCACTCCACCACCAGCAATTACACAGCTATCAAGAAGTGACAACGGCCCACATACCATTATGAGCATCAAAGATTATCTTGTTGACGATCGAAACCCTGCCTCACGTCTCAATAATTCTTTCACCTCCACGACTAACTTTTCACATTTATCTTTATCATCACACGCTACCGATTCTCATTATTTGAGTTCACGAAATGTTATATTCGGTCTCCTGAAACCATGCGCCAAACTACATGTTGGAGCTTATAGTGTTCGAATCTGGTATCAGATATGAAAACAGGCTTCCTTAACTAGGATTCTGCAATCCCGCGCCATCAAACGCACATACAAGATCGTTCATTCATTATTGGAGGCGGTCTATTGAAAACTGTCGCTCGTTCTGAAGCAGATGTTTACACTCGGATCATGCTCTAGTTCGAGCAGGACCATTATTTACTTTCAAACCAGGAAATTGAACGGACCGACAGAACACTGTAGGGAACAAATAATATTTGTAATATCCTAATGAGTAGAACAATTAGATTTGCTGACGTTTCGTGACTCTGTGTAAGCCAATTCTTCAGAGAATAAATAACAAAATTCAAATTATCCTGTTTAAATAGTAGAAATGAACAAGGCATCTAATATTTTTGTTTTGTTCCTCTGTACTATTTCAATGGGTTAATTTTGATTATTGATTATTTGTCCTCTGAAGAAGTGGCTTACACTGAGTCACGAAATGTCAGGAAATCTGATGTTCCTACGGATTGAGATATTACAAATATATTACTTACAATAATCTACTCAATTTGTTTTAAATTATCAAGTGAAACCTTGGTAATGATACCTACTTTAATGGACAGTTCAATCGACATTCGAACACACTTCAGTTACCTTTTATTTTCAAGCAACCTGAGCTTCAAAATCTTCTACAACGTTTTCTGTGTTTTTGTTTCACTAATTTATACTTTATTTTTGAGTGGTATCTTCAATGCGTAGTCTTTCCTATTAGCAATGATACTGTTACTACCTCAAATATCATGAGACTTGGCCTAACAACATCATGAATTTGTACTAATGGAGTAAGACATTTTGAGCCATTGTGATTGACTGACTGAATTCAATGATAGGAAAGAATGTCGATTGTCTTTCCACACTCGAGTTGTTTTCCTAAGATACCGATGAATAGTTATGGATAAATATTACCTCTTATGTTACTCATTCGCTCTCGATAGATCACACAAATGTATAGTAGTGAAATGTCAACTAAGTATATTCGTCGTTCTATAGTATTTATAAAGGATTATGCCTCATCTTGAACTGGGATCGTTTTAGGTTAGACATCTAGAGACTTTATTCACGATCTAAGTAGTAGCATCGTTACGTTTTGTTTAGTTATTGTTCAATTAATAATGAAACTTCACATTTTCATTAGTTTTCGTTTGCTTACAGATAATTGGACTGTAGAGATTAGTCGGAGTACCGGAAACTTGTATTACTTTAACCGTTTGAAATCTGAATCTACTTTCGATGTACCGAAAAGTGAACAATTGATGCAGTCTGCATCTTTCAAGTATTCTATTTTTATCGTCTAAAGGATGATGGTTTTGAACTGTCGATCAAGTGGTTGAAAGTTGCTTGCCTAAGTAACCTCATATACCACATTAACGTACCGGTTACAGCGTCAGATTTTCGACAATTATGTTAAATATATTTGATTAGCCAGGTGTTTATCGTTGCTGTTCACACTTGAGGTGTGACGTAAAGATAAGAAACTTAAATAAGTTTCTTGATTTTGAAGTATCCCAGCTCCGAAATACTTAGACTTTGTCCTCTACACCTCTGATTCGATTGATGATGGAAAGAGTCTCCACTCTTCCAATCAAATGGTTTGTATCTAGCTGCTCATTTATGGCATTCTCAAGGGATGCATTACTACTGTTCAAAGATAAGATGAAATCATAGGTTTCACCCTTAAATTGTGTTGGTGACTGCGGAGAGTTGATCTACAGGATTTGTAAGAAACAGGTTTGAAGTTAATGGTCTTTATGAGTTCCAACATTTTGAAGAAACAAATGCATGATTAATTTTTGGTCACCAGATACCATAAGACTGAGTCTGCTGAGGTCCCTTCATTGTTTTTTGGATGGAAAGGTTTTGCTAAAAGCACTCTTAGTTCTGGGCTAACGTGCTTATAATGTTTCTCTTTGCTAACTGATTTTATGCACCGTTAACATTTGTATTATAATGGTTATCGCGGTGAACGTTTAGCAAAGCACGGTACTACAATGTCCTCTACTTGATTTTGGCAGAATACGACGTACAACTGACGGCACTTGAACGTGTATAAATCCACGGCCGTTAAACCAGATGATGGAAGAAGCAAGGGAAATGGTTACTGGATAAAAATCGAAAACGTACAGAAAAAACATGGGTACTTATGCGATCACTAAATCGGATCAAGTAATTCATATATACAATATCCGATCGACAATAAAGAACCAGGTAGTAAGTCAATAATAATCTATTTAACACAATATAAACAACCTGTAGAACTCATCAGTAGAAAATGATTCAAATATTATTAGTTTTTCAACGCTTAAGAATCTTGACTGACTATTTCAACTTGTTCATAAGTCGTTTGGAGTCCACTATCTCATTACATTAGTTTTCCTTTATTGTTGTTTTCGACTAGTTGGCCAGTGTCTTAAATTTGTTTTCACTGCATGGGTACTTTCATAAGTGCTCACAACAATCAACAGATACATATACTTTCAATCGGCTGCTTTTTGCAGAATGTGCATTCACTAGGCATAGGTGCTCATCAGACAAAATATAGACATATTATCGATTAACTAACTACAGTATAAGTATGTCTGACCAGTCATTCTCAAAGTGATGAGATAGTAACACCATAATTCTAACTTAAACATACAGGCGGATACATTTAGGCCGTAGAACATATAGTTGAAAATAAAACGGGTCAACTAAGATGATACCAAATAATATGTTCAGTTCATTTACTTCGTACTTTTACGTCCATATGATGCAGTCGCAAAGGGTACCCAAACCAAGACATGGTATCAGTTCATGACACCACTCACTGGTTGTTTTTAAACTATTCAGTTGGAGTTCACGATGACTGAAACTCTTGGGTAACATGAATCAAAATCGACCACTTACCCGGACATACACAATACTATATATTGCTTATGTTCAGAATTCAATCATATTCTCTGCCTTATCTTTTTCCACCATCATAGACCACCATTTTACTAGTACATTATGTATTTTATTTATTTCATGTCTTTTTACTGTGTTGGTTGTAACAAGTGGAATCAACGTACATTGATGCCGTAGCAGCAGCTCACGTACGAATGAGTTTGTTTATATTTGAATTGGTTAAGCCCTTTTGTTCGCCTATTTAACGGATAGAGTCACTCGTACAGTAACAACCTATCTGTGCTATTGTAACTTCATGATTGTTGCGCCATTATGAATGTGTATGGTTGAGCATTGCTTACTGTCTACGCATATGTTCATTCTGCTAGCCTATCTATTAGTCGCTCAAGTGATTTCATGTTTCATTCATTTCCACACTCGTTCATGGTTTCGATCATCCTCTCGCTCACTTGCTTGCTTTTCGGGACTTCTCTATCATTCTTGATTAACGTACCTGCAGTTTTAGATATCTGTGTGTGTTTCAACGATAAACGCAATCAACACTTTGTATTCACCTTCTGATTTATGCACCGTTGGGGTGTTATCTAGTAACGGTTATTAAAGTGAACAGTACACGAAGTTTAAGGATAGAAGTAGAAAAGAAGGTTCAAGACAGAGTGGGTTGGAGAATGATGATCAGCGGTCTATGCTCCATTGAGCGTAACAGGCGTAAGTAAGTAAGTAAGTCAGTCAGTCAGTAAGTAAGTAAGTAACAGTTCATAATGAAATTTTCAAAATTGAACCGCCTAAGGAATCTTCAATCTCTTGTTAAGCCTATTCTCGAATGTCGTTTTAATTATTATAAATTTCTATGAAAATATTCACATTTCAAATATTAAATTTCTTTTCAGTGGGAAGAACAATCAGAAGGGGATTTGTGGAAATTGATTATTTTCATAGTTGAAAGCATGAGTCAATTGAAGCTAGACCACTAAGGAAAACCTGTAAGCATTGAACGGCCGTTTCGTCCTATTGTGGGTTTGAATCTCGCGATGCGAAATATTGGATGTGCACTTCTGAAGAGTCCCACAATGATACAAAACGGTCGTTCAGTGCTTCCAAGGTTTTCCTTGATGATCTAGCTTCAATTGATTCATGCTTTCAACTATGAAAAAGAAGAATATATTTGTAAAATCTCAACGAATGAATCTGAAGTGACTTCAACTTTTCGCCGTAGCAATCTGATCAATGCTTGTTCCTTGGAATTACTTCAAATTCAGATTTTACAAATACATTCTTCTCCTTCTTATTTGATGTCTTTCATCAATTCGTCACTGTAATAGTGTGAAACTATTCCATCTAATTTAGATGAATGTTCTTCTATCAATTTCTTTTCTTTCAATAATAGTTGTAGAATATCAATATCATATCTTTTATTAATTTCATATATACTACTTAAATCATAACTGGTCCACTGTATTGATTCATATTTACTTGATTTGTATTGACTGTACAGACTCCTTGTGGAATATTACTGGTGATATTATCATTATCATAATGAGCTAATACTCTCCTTCCATTTAGATTATGATGAAATTGTGGTGATAAAAATCTTTTCGACAGTAATGTTGATTCACATATGAATTGTGGATGATATGAAGGGTAATTTTGATGAATCGATGTTATATTGATTGGATTAGTTACATTCATTGAATGATTATTACTGTCTGATAAATTTTGAATTAAATTTGATGATGGTTCATTATTAGGCGCTATTGTTGTTGTTGTTGCATATCTCATAAGGAGTTGACGACGTTTTCTTTGTGAATAACAACATATAATGAAGATACAGATTAATGCAATCATTAAGATTGTAGTACATATTATAGGGACCAATAAACGTGAACCAGAAATGAAACAAGAAATAATCAAATGTTTCTATACTTGCTGTTGGGATGATCCTGCAAATTTCTTACAATAGACATGACAAGCTCAAAGTAACATTAAGAAGCATTTTATCTAATCAGCGTTCGATCATAACTATAGTTTATTCTAGAAGATTCAAGCCACGTACAGTCAAAGTGACGGTAGCTGTTAACAGAATTGGCTCCCATAATCGTAGGAATTATGTTTCCCTCAACAATAATGGGTATGGTGCCCGCTTACAGCTAGACACAGCCTTCGATATAACACTTATAAGCAGATGAACGTGGGAGAAAATTGAGAAACCAAGAATATATATTCAACTCATCAATCAGCGTACAGTGCATCCGGGGGAGTTCTAAACATTGCTAGTAAGATTCATTGTGAAATCACAGTCAAAGAGTTCATGGAGAAGGGAGTAGATTTTCTGACTGAAAGTTCATCATTCAACAAGATTTATCATCTGACTTTTATGTAGTGTCATGAATAAGAGAGTAATATGTGGTCATTGGTGATCTTAACTATTATTAGTTTTTGAAGCTATCGCCGGATATTAAATCGAACTGCTACATGTGAGTACATCTTAATACACTACAATAATATAATATCGGGACTGAAACTCTTCTTAAATCTCAGTAATATTCAAGTACGATTCATTCATACTGATAATCATATTCTTTTAAGAACAGACATGTCGTGTGGATTTAAGAATAAATACTTAAAGTTTTTTGTTATGTAGGATTTTTTTAACAAGGCTATCGGTTGACACAGTGAGTCCTATGAGATCCATTTTGAAGGTTTCGTGTGTGAAAATCCCTCCATGCATACACTTGCAAATTGTTCTTAATGGTTTCCCTAGTTGTTCATTATTGTTGACCGTTTTGATGCCATTTGAGATTGTAATGTTTCATTTCATAACAATTTTAGCATTTTCTCTTTCGCTCTCACTGAGTTTATTGTATCTTGGCGGCAGCCATATTGATCGTTCTCTCTTTTATTTTTGTGGCTGGATTTGACCGGGATCGTACATTTCGGTTGTGAATTGAAGCACATTCCCAGAATCGGAAACAATTGATCTATCCAAGAAGGATAGAATGATACTTATTTTTGGTGCTTTCAGCAATTCTCTTATATTTCTTATCAATTTATCTATTTATTGTTATTTAGATTGATTATTGTGGCAACAATTATTGGTTGAATAACTGAGTGGTAATATTTGTTTAGGTGAAGTCATATATTTGTATTTATGATAGAATTTAGAACCGCTGTTACCCCAATCATCTTGTTTTGACTTCGAATGGCAGACACGCGTTTCTTCTCTTACCAGACAGTTATTCTTCAGCCAAACCTAGTTTGGAACTCATAAGTCTATCTAGGGGAGTTAGGAAACCCTCATTCCAAACCAATGGTGCACATGGGCTCCAGGATCCTGAGGGACCAAATAGTGTATGAGCTAATCGTTGGTCACCGGCTACTATTGGAAAGCACTTCTTCACGATGCCCCATTGTCTGCTTGATCAGACCTTCAGGTCAAAAGCTCTGGTTGTGGCTTCCTAAGAAAACCAACTGCTTCATTTTGGGCACCCGGACAATATCATAGACCTCACACATTTATGTACTTACTTACTTACTTACTTACGCCTGTTACTCCCAATGGAGCATAGGCCGCCGACCAGCTTTCTCCAACCCACTCTGTCATGGGACTTCTTTCCTAGTTCTGTCCAGTTCTTGTTCATTCTTCTCATGTCTGTCTCGATTTCTCGGCGTAATGTGTTCTTTGGTCTTCCTCTTCTCATTTGAACTTCAGGATTCCGTGTAGGGCTTGTCTCGTGACTCAATTGGGTGATTTCCTCAAAGTGTGTCCAATCCACTTCCAGCACTTCTTCCTGATTTCTTCTTCTGCTGGAATCTGGTTTGTTCTCTCCCACAGTAACTTGTTGCTGATAGTGTCTAGCCATCGGATCCGAAGTATCTTGCGTAGACAGCTGTTAATAAACACTTGTATCTTCTGGATAATGCCTTTCGTAGTTCTCCAAGTCTCCGCCCCATACAGAAGAACTGTCTTGACATTTGTATTGAAAATTCTAACTTTGGTGTTGGTTGACAATTGTTTTGAGCTCCAGATGTTTTTCAGCTGTAGGTATGCTGCTCTTGCTTTGCCGATCCGCGCCCTCACATCTGCATCTGATCCACCGTGTTCATCAATGATGCTGCCCAGATATGTAAAGATTTCCACATCCTCCAAAGCTTTTCCGTCAAGTGTAATTGGATTGGTGCATATTGTATTGTATCGGAGAGTCTTGCTTTTTCCTCTGTTTATATTGAGACCTACTGCTGCTGAGGCTGCTGCTACACTGGTCGTTTTCTCATGCATTTGTTGTTGCGTTTGTGATAGAAGAGCCAGATCATCCGCGAAGTCTAAATCGTCAAGCTGCATCCTGCCTGTCCACTGTATCCCGTGCATTCCTCCAGATGTTGACGTCTTCATGATCCAGTCGATCACCAGGAGAAAGAGAAAGGGTGAGAGTAGGCAACCTTGCCTAACACCGGTCTTTACCTCGAACGAATCCGTGAGTTTTCCTCCGTGGACGATTTGGCAGTTTAGTCCATCATAGGAGTTCCGTATGATATTGACTATCTTCTCAAGCACGCTATAGTGTCGAAGGAGCCTCCATAGTGTTGTCCTGTCCACGCTATCAAATGCCTTCTCGTAGTCGATGAAGTTGATGTACAGTGATGAATTCCATTCGATTGATTGTTCCACAATGATACGTTGAGTTGCGATCTGATCTATGCACGATCTATCCTTACGAAATCCGGCTTGTTGATCTCGAAGTTGAGCGTCCACGGAATCCTTCATCCTGTTTAACATAACTCTGTGGAAGACTTTTCCTGGTATTGAGAGGAGAGTGATGCCCCTGTAGTTGTCGCACTTGCTAAGATCACCTTTCTTTGGTATTTTGATCAGAAGTCCTTCTTTCCAGTCTGTTGGTGCATGTTCTTCGTCCCAAATCTTACTGAAGAGGATGTGGAGTATCTTTGCAGTTGTGGCTACATCTGCTTTCAGTGCCTCTGCCGGGATGTTGCCTGGTCCCGCTGCTTTGCCACTCTTAATTTGTCTAATGGCCATGCTGATCTCTTCAATTGTTGGTGGGCCAATATCGATTGGGAGGTCTGTGGGTGCTGCTTCGATGTTGGGTGGGTTCAGTGGAGCTGGTCGATTCAAGAGTTCCTTGAAGTGTTCTACCCACCTGCTTCGTTGTTCTTCAATATCGTTGATTACTTTGCCTTCCTTGTTTTTCACTGGTCTTTCTGGTTTACGGTAATTTCCAGCAAGTTTCTTTGTTGTATCATACAGTTGTCTCATGTTTCCCTCTCTTGCAGTCTTTTCCGCTGTCACACAATTATGTGGCGAATATATATTTGTACCAATATGTATGTGTTCAAATAAAATGTAAAATAAACTAACAAGGCTACATTTAAATATCTGAATTGTTGTCACGCTAATCTCATATAGTGAATGGTTGTCGTTTTTGTTATGTCCTAATAATTGGTAAAACTCAGTAAACTTTTATTATGTACTGCATGACCCTTATTCGTTGTAAACTCAAGATCAATTCGCCCATTACCATAAACCTAACCTCAACCTCGTGTTTTCACTACTCCGAAAGTGATTACTCAAATACATCTATACAACATTCAAAACGTTACAACCTATTGGTGTTCTCCACCTTCAAATGGCATATTTCATAGTCATAATACAGTACATAGTAAACTATCGCAATAATAAGTAAACGGGCAACTGATATGCATCCCAAGGATGCAGAGCAAAGCAATTGAAATATTATAAAAAATGAATATCTTAAAATAGTGAGTGTTACTTTTTTGTTTACAAATATTTACACTTATCAAAATCATTTTCATATACAACTACTGTACCCTCCTCTTCCTCCTCCTTCTCCTCCTCCTCCTCCTCCTCATCATCATCATCATGGTTACTGTCATTATTGGCATATTCATTATTATTGTCACTTCCATTATTGGATAATTTCAAATTGTCTTTACGTAATTTTAAATTAGTTGATGCAGCTAAATAAGCTTCTTTAGATAAATTTCTAACTGATTCATGAATAAATGAATACCATCTGAACCAATTCGGATTTGATCATTCAATGAACTGAGTGTTACCTTTTCCCATAGGGAGTGAGAAAAGAATAGATATGAAAGTTATCAGATAGTATATTATTCAACAATTTATAACGATATTACATGCAACGATTAGGGTAAATAAAACTTGATTGAATAGTACTGTTCAATTGATAGTTTGGTTCACTGAACTGATCTGAAATTCGTAAATCGTTCAACTATTCAACCAAAACATTGCAATTATCAGTTTCTTCTTGTCACTTGATAAAGCGATGGAGTAGGGGCATTTACTCTTTGTGTTCTGCCAAATTCTTATCTTCTCAATTCTTCATGTCTCTATCTTTTTTCTCCTTCCAAATTTATTTCACTACAATATACTCATTGGATAACATCTTCAAACCCTAATCTTTCCGATTACTGCTTATACTCTTACTACTTCGACCACTATGCGATTTAAATCGACAACTGCATCTCTGTGTTAATGTGGTATGACGACTCAAACTGATGTACGTACGTATGAAGTTCTACGTTGTAATTGACTGACTGGCTCCTGTCGCTTAATAAAAGGTGATCAAGGTTTCAGATCATTTTTCCATCCTATAACATCATGATTGGCGTGCATGTTGTTATACAGCTGAGATCAGACGTTTTCCTACCACTGACAATCTCGTGGACCTTTAACATGAAAGTTCAGTCCGTCAGACAACGCAAAAGCAACAGGGAATACAATTCCCTGGTAGCTAATAACTAGATTGAGTTCCTGCAATATTTATTTCTTCGGGACTGCATAGTTTATT